CTAAAATGCTCAGACTTTTAGTTGACTAAAACTTGACTAGACTAAAAAGAATATGAACGTGACTAAAACTAATAAAAACTAATGACAGCTTCACACAAAGACTAGACTAAAACTAAAATTAAAACAGGCCGCCAAAAACAACACTAGTAGGAAAAAAGGAAAACATAGATGCATGCACACTTGCGCGCACACACTTCCATGTTTTATGGGTTCATTCCATAGGCGTAATGGTTTTTATACTGTACAAACTGTATTTTCTATCCTCTTACCCTAACCCTACCCTTAAACCTACCCCTCACACAAAACTTCCTGTTGTTTTAGATAAAGACAAAAACTTCATTCTGTATGATTTATAATTTTGTTTCCTCATTGGGAATCAAAATTTACTGGTATTATTATCCTTGTGGGGACATTTGGTCCCTATAACATAGGGAATACCAAGTACACACATGGCTGTATCCAAAAATGAACCAATTCAGACCCAGTGTTGCTCCAGATAATCCATTTTCCATACACTCCTAGATTCATTTCAAACACCTTCTGATACACCACCAAACAAAGCAGAGCAAAGCAAAACAAAATGAAATAAAAGCAAAACAAAAAAGCAAAGCAAATCAAAAAAAGCAAAAGAAAACAAAACAAATCAAAGCAAAACAAAACAAAAATCAACGCAAAATGAACAGAATGCAAAGCTTTGCAAAGCAAAGCATAGCATAAAAAACACAAGCGAAACGAGACAAAGCAAAACAAAACAGGATAAAAACAAAAAAAAGAATGCAAAGCAAAACAAGTCTAAATAAAAGCAAAGAAAAAAACGTTAACAACAAAAAGTAAAACAAGTACACAAAGGAAAACAAATCAAAGCAAAACCAAACAAAACAAAAACTTGCAAAGCAAAACAAGTCTAAATAAAAGCAAAGAAAAAACCGTTAACAACAAAAAGTAAAACAAGTACACAAAGGAAAACAAATCAAAGCAAAACCAAACAAAACAAAAACGCAAAGGCAAATTGGTCTGTGTACATTTTTAATGGGCGCAAATGTACACAGACCAAAATTCTTTGCAGAGAGGGCAATCTCAAAATGACAAAAAATTACCTTTTATGCCTGTGTGAGTATTGCGTTGGTAGCTTAGCAACATGCTAAGAGCAAACTCCAGCAGAATCAATGAAATTGAGTTTCCTATGTGCTTCAGGTGCAATTGCTCACTTTTAAGGCTCCGTTTCAGTTAGGATAGTGCCTTAGAAAGCAGATGCCTATGTAGGCTGTAGGCAAGGCAACTAACCAGGTTTTGGAAAAGATCCCAACACACGTCTTTCTCAGGGTCACTTTGGAAAACAATGCTCAGAGATCCTGTAATCAGAAGCCACGGTCACGCATTTTATACCTGAGGCTGTCAGCGTGTGAGAAAATAAGCGTTTAAGTAAGTCAGACTGACTGAAGATGGGTGGAGGGGGGTTTGGCTCTGGGACAGGGTGGGGGTCACCTCCAGGGGTTTGGCTGCTGACCAAGCTGCTGCCGTTGCCCCGGGGCCAGCCAGGGGCCAGATGAGTCCTGCAGCCCCTCGAGGGCCCGGGGACACCGGCGGCATCTCCACGTGCCCCACACAACCAGGACGTCACCTCTAATACTGCAACTCACTAAATATGGATTGTGAGCTGATGGAGCTGTGAAGGTCAAAGCCGTGCCGCAGTAAAACGAAGGAGGAAGATCCATGAACGAGGAAAGCATGGAGCAGAAAAGGAACCCGATTCAAAACATTTCGCTATGAATAGAGCCATGTCTGACAATGATATACCCAAAATGAGCAACATCAAAACAGCAATAATATTTAACTCATAATCAAATAATTGTATTAAAATACAAAAATAAATTTTTCCCCTGAAAACGACAGTATAAGATGCTACATCTGAACTGACATAGTTCTCACAGAGCCGAGAAAATTCTAGACACGTCTATATTAAATCATAATTATGCCTCATTAGCCTAATTACTGATCACTGCAGCTCACCATCAAAAAACTAATGAATGTTTACAGATAAAAAAAAACTGTATTGATATGATAATACAAGGCATACAAAGACACGCTGAAACTGTTAAACGCTTCACCTCTGCATCATATTAAATAACCTTATGTAACATGATGACAACAAATAATGGATAATACTATATAATCAATGTTCTTTTTGAGAGAATTTTAATTAATCCAGACTTCAAGCCATTCATAATTCAAAATTAATTTTCAGGCCAAGGGGTGGTGAATGGACATACAGTATAGACCCCCTCGTATTTAAATGTAATGTAATTAGTGCTGTCAAACGATTAATCGCTATTAATCGCATCCAAAATAAAAGTTTTTGTTTACATAATATATTTGTGTGAACTGTGTATATTTATTATGTATATATAAATACACACAATATGCATGTATATATTTTAAAACTTTTCCACGACATTCTAATTTATTGAGATGCACCTGTATGTATGTATGTATGTATATATATATATATATATTCAACTTTTATCCCAGCATGATGTGCACTACAACTTCCCGAAAGCTGGGAGCAGTAATTGATTTAACTAGGAGACTGTGAAGGACTTTCCAATCTGTGGCTTTGCGATTGATGGAATTATAGCTAAGGTTCGGCAACTTATTTATTGACCACAGAGAAGGATGAGGGGTCACGATGAAAGAGGGGAGAACTTTTGGCCCCTTCTCTGATGCGATAGTTCGTTAATGGAGCCGGGGGCCAGGTGAAGGGGGGTCGGTCTCAGGACGGAGCAAGCAGAAGGCTTTTCACGATGAGCTAGCCAGCGTTCATCAAGGTGCGCAATGAAACCTTGTATCACAGTTCTGTTGTATTGTGTATTACTTACAGTTTCCTGGCTTTGAAGATCTCTGCAAACTCTCGGACGCTCCTCAAGGAAGCCAAATCCAGCGTCATGGCTTCAACACGGGCTTTGCGCTAGTGAAAGAGGAACAGAAAAAGAGAAAGCAGTAGATATTTACCAGCTACATACATCACTATCACACTGCTAACAAACTGAAAGCCAAAGCTCTAACTCACTGAACACTTCCCACCCCAAACCCTCCACTATATCTCATGGATGCCACGAAGAACTACTCCATCTCCTGTTCCCTAAATCAGGGGTGCATTTCCAATAGGAAATGTTGCACATTCTGTGGCGGGAGAGCATCTCAATATCCTCTTTATGGCATTTTTATGACCCTGTATCCGATCTCTGCTGGGTGCATCCTGTGCTTACACTAAGTAAACGGTAAGGCAGTGGCTCCCTTCTTTCATAATGTCCATAATGGCATATAGAACAGGCTCAAGGAGATAAATAATGTATGAGCAAAGCCAAATCCACAATAATGGTCTCTCTTAGTGCTGGCTTTTAGGTGCACCTTTGATCATACCAGAACACGATCGATATTAAGGAAGACACATAAATCACTCCACAAAGAAAGGATCATAGTCTCACTGGTCAGAGGTCAGCACAAGTTCTCCTGAGGTAAAGTCAGTGGGAAAGTATGAGGTTTTAGTGTACAGATGCACCAAAAACAAACAAATAAATAAATACATAAATTAAAATAAATAAATAACCGTTTATTTATTTATAATCTTGAACATAAAGTTACTTGAAACATGTCTACAGCACTGGTCAAATGCCATTAAGAAAGGCTAACTAAATAATCAGAGATGATAATCAATATTTCCCCCGTAATTTTTTTTCTTGTTTTTGTCTTGTTCAAAAAAAAAAAAAAAGGTGAAATAGATTTTTTTCCCATTTATCAAATACATTAAATGTATTTGAATTTGAAGATCATTTTATTTGGGGGCCCGTAATTTTTTTTCTTTTTTTTGTCTTGTTAAAAAAAAAAAAAAAAAGGTGAAATAGATTTTTTTCCCATTTATCAAATACATTAAATGTATTTGAATTTGAAGATCATTTTATTTGGGGGAAAATAAGAATAAATTAATTTTATTTATATTTATTACACATTAAAATAATGTAAAAATTATTATAAAATGATTAAATTGTTTTAATTATATAATACTACTAATAGTGATAATTATAATAAAATAGTATTATTAATATTAATAACAATAATAAGTGTTATTATTGTTATTATAATTATTATGATGCATTTTTTAATAGTTGATTGTGTATGCAAAGAAAAATGCATACTCGCATAAAATAATTTCAACTCAAATCAGCATATAACAACTACAAAACTACAGAAAAGATCACTTATTAGTTTACCTTATTACTAGTAAGTTAATACAGATATGCTGATAAAGAAAATTTCAGGTGCGTGTATTCACTGTGATTCCTTCTCACCACAAACAGCTGTGTGCTAACTTAGCAGGTTCCGCTAGTCCTGTACAGCATCTCTGATGAGGGATTTTTTGATGAATGACTGTATAAACTGCTAATATTACAGTGGGGTTAGGAGACATGGGGCAATTTAATTATGCCATGTACAGCACACCACTAGGTTAACAGGAAACGCACCCCATCAGCATTTCTCCTATGAACAGCACGTCCACGAACCACTTACAATTGCTAATCAGCCTCTGTGCAATTAGTGCTGTAGACGATTCTAGATGGCTACTGTACTATAAAGACTTCAGAGCAATCATGTCTAGTCTTGTCATACGCCCTCGATTGCAAACTGCTAGATATACAATAACTGTTCAACATCAGATTATTACTGTCCAATGGGGTTTGACTAATACCCAGAGATGTTTATTTAAGCATTATCGCCAACACAAATTAGGACACTTCGTTATTAAAGACCATCAATATAAAATTAAAAAGGAAGTTGTGTTGACCCAACAAAATGCCCACAACAGAATTATTGGCTTCCATCTAATGACTCCAATACAAAACACACATATGCGGCAAAATACACTTTTTTACTTAAGTGAATTAGAATTAAAACAACTCTTAAAGACAGGAAGACAGACAGAACGACAGAAATAAAGACAGAACGACAGAAATAAAGACGAACGACAGAAAGAAAGAAAGAAAGAAAGAAAGAAAGAAAGAAAAAAGGAAAAACAGACAAGAGACAGACAGACAGATGTGTTGACCCAACAAAATGCCCACAACAGAATTATTGGCTTCCATCTAATGACTCCAATACAAAACACACATATGCGGCAAAATACACTTTTTTACTTAAGTGAATTAGAATTAAAACAACTCTTAAAGACAGGAAGACAGACAGAACGACAGAAATAAAGACAGAACGACAGAAATAAAGACGAACGACAGAAAGAAAGAAAGAAAGAAAGAAAGAAAGAAAGAAAGAAAAAAGGAAAAACAGACAAGAGACAGACAGACAGACAGAAAGAAAGAAAACAGGAAAAACAGACAAGACAGACAGACAGGAAGACAGACAGAAAGAAAGAAAGAAAGAAAGAAAGAAAGAAAGAAAGGAAGGACAGACAGACAGAAACACAGAAAGAAAGAAAAAAAGAAAGAAAGACAGAAAGAAAGAAAGAAAGAAAGACAGAAAGAAAGAAAGAAAGAAAGACCGAAAGAAAGAAAGAAAGAAAGATGAATGAATAACACAAAGAAGGACGGACGGACGGACGGACGGACGGACAGATAGACAGATAGATAGATAGATAGATATAGATAGATAGATAGATAGATATAGATAGACAGACAAAAGGACGGAAGGACAGACGGACAGAACAATAGAACAGATATCCGGACAGATGGACGGATGGACAGACAGAATTGACAGACAGAACAGAAGATAGATAGAACGACAGATAGACGGACAGACGGAAGGACAGAATGACAAAAGAACAACAGACAGACAGAATGACAAACAGACAGACAGAGATAGATAAACTGTTTTTAATTAACCTACTGAAAGTCATACACATGCTTCAAACATAAGAAAGATGTTCTGACCTGGTCAATAACAAGATATACACACATAACATTTTAATTGCATGAACATTTGGTCCCCACGTTAGGCAAAGACCACGACACACAGACACACAGTGTTTTATTCATGCAGACAGGCTTATTTGTCAGTAGTGTAATGCTACTCCATCTAACAGGTCTTATTTATCTACTTCAGGTTTAGCCTGTGGGCCTGCAGACATTGACTGGGGCGCTGTGATTATGCGATAAGACTGAGACGTAGACAGCACAAGTCTACTCTGAAACAGCCACAGGGCACACATGAACAACAGAAACCAATGTCAGCGCAAACGGATTATTATTTCAGAAGGATCTCAGAGTATGTCTGTGGATTACAGTCTCAATTCAACACAATTTATCTCTGTTTCTCCCAAATGGCAGGTCGCGACCCAAAAATGGGCTGCATGGTTTTGATGGTTTGCAAAAACAATGATGTTAAAAAGAGGGTCACCTGTGGAGAGGATAAACATGATATTACACATATGACTGATAGGAGGCAAACAGCGCAGTGTGCACACCTGAGGGCTGCTTTCTAGTGTAGTGTACGCAACAGATGAGGGACGATGAATGTCCGGTTAGACTGATTGCCGGGAGAATGATGGGCGGCAGTTGCATGAGTTATTGCGTGTCAGGCTCCGCTAGCCATGTTTGGCAGGTGTATGGCATGTGAAAACTGGAAAACAGGAAATAACAGCTGCTGGAAAACACAAGAGGACAGATGTGAAGACTGATGACTAAATGATTTGGACAGATATCAAACCAGAACAGGTAGGTTTGATGTGTGGTACTGTTGGTTAACAGACTGTACAAGTCTGACACAAGCCAGACTTTTGTTATCAGCAAAGTCTGGTCCACTTCATAGCTCGTTCTGGCAAGAACAGCCCATTTTGACAAAAAGAGGTGTCTGACATATACATATATAAAGGGATAAATTAAAGTTTGCATTTTGAATTTGACATTTCAGGGCTGGGAAAATATGAATTAGAATCTGATATCAAGTATATTAAAATGTTTCATTATAACTGAGCTACAGTGGGCAGTATTGTAGTCGAGATCAGCTCATCCGAGACCTGAGTATATTTAGTTCAAGTTAAGACCGAGGCCAGAAGACAGTCAAGTCTGAACTAGAGACCAGCACTCCCGCGGGAGGACCGCGGGACCCGCGGGACCCAACGCAACAGGGTGCGACGCGGGACAACTCTTGATGGGCGAGTGCGGGTGCGGGCGGGAAGAGACTCGTGTGTGTGCGGGATGCGGGAGAGTAAAATGATTCGCGGGACTCCCGCAAAATAGAAATTATCTAAACATAAAGTGTTTAAAACATATAAATTGTAATTTATCTGTTGCACAAAAGCAAAAAGAACAACTAATATTAACATTAAAATGATTGACATGCGCAAGCTAGGCACAGTTTCTATTTATAACACGTGTTTAAAAGGTTGCAGTGGTTTGTGAATGTGAATGTTGATGCTTAGCCTAAATAAATATTTTATCGGGAGCATTTATGCTGGTATGTTAGTGGTGCAGGTGTCGCTCATTATCAATTACCCCACCGGCCTCGCTCCGTTCCCATGGCTCTCGGCCCCGCCCCCACTCGTCACAAGCATCAAGTTAAAATCAAGACCGAGACCAGAAGAGGGTTGAGTCTGAATCAAGACAAAACCAGAAGAGGGTCGAGTCCAAATCAAGACATAGAAAAAAAGAGGGTAGAGTCTGAATCAAGACCGAGACAAGAGGGTCGAGTCTGAATCAAGACAAAAACAGAAGAGGGTTAAGTCCGAATCAAGACATAGAACAGAAGCGGGTCGAGTCTGAATCAAGATGGAGAACAGAAGAGGGTCGAGCCTGAATCAAGATGGAGACAAGAAGAGGGTCAAGTCTGAATCAAGATGGAGACCAGAAGAGGGTCGAGTCTGAATCAAGATGAAGAACAGAAGAGGGTCGAGTCTGAATCAAGATGGAGAACAGAAGAGGGTAGAGTCTGAATCAAGACTGAGACAAGAGGGTCGAGTCT